AGCAGGGCATCTATTGCATGCTATCTTTTCCTTTTGGGGGAAACCAAGCCTCATTATTAATCACAAATGCAGGTCCAAACGAGATCATAGTCATAGGAGGAAGTCGTCTATCTTATTACTTTCATTTTGTTTCAGTAACATAATAATTCTGCTAAAGGCAGAGATTTTCCCGGTTTAGTTTCCCATTCCATCATCAGAGTTGGTTATCAGAATACTTAAAGAAGAGAAGGTTATACAAATTACAAAAACCAGGAGTAACTGGGGAACGGATATCCACCAAAAGAGCAGCGGTCATGGGCTTTCGGCTGGAACTTTGTCAAACAGCACTCTTGCCAAGAACCACAGAACTCTTGGAGCCAGCACCTCTTTAAAGATTTAAGTTTTGCTGCAACCCAGTGGTTGAACAGAAAGCTAAGTGAACACCGGGGCAGAAGAGTTCCAGACGCACACATACGAGGGAGACCCAGGCCAGGGATTGCAAGGAGCGCCCCACCCCACCCCCATTAGGGATGTTCTGTCCCCAGAAGACTCAGCAGCTGCATTTTAGCCGTGAGCCTGCCAACCCTGGGCACTGCTGCCCACAGGTGCGTTTGAATTCTCTGCAGTGGTGTAGAAGGGGGCACAATGGTGAGGCAGGAGGCTCACCAGCTCTTTAGAGCTCATTCCTGGCCTCCCAGTTCCCACTGCATTGAATAACTTCCTAACACTGAGTTGACAAGGAGGAGCTACAAGCCCAGCATTGGGAAACGTGGCAGGGAGGACAGGAACACCATGCTGTGACATTTATTCTCGTCACCTCTCTCTGGGGTCCCATTTCATTACTGATTACCTTCTGCTGTTCCCTGGTGGTTCCCCATGGGAGAACAGAATGTCCCCAAATTGACCCATGTTTTGGACAGTTTTATCTTTTTTTTTTTTCCTGTGCACTGCGCTAATCAGGGCAACACTAGATGTTATGAAACCAAAGCTTCAAACAGGCTTAGTACTTTCTATCAGAAAAGCACCTATGGTGGAAGGGGAGGTGGGGAAATGAAGACTTGCCACTTGACAGGCCAATTTTGCATCAAAGAAAGGGACAAGCAAAACAGGCCTCAGGTTCAGCACAACCTGACAACTGGAGAAGCATACCCAGACTATAACGCCATAACATGCATGGCTTGTCAGCTATTTCTCCCAGGTGTGTCCAGTTTAAAAAGCTGCAGTTTGCTAATGTGAGATACACTTAAAATGTGTGTTACGTGACATGAACAGAAAAGCAAATCTTGCTGTTTGCAGGTCACAGGCTACAACCCAGCAGATGGAAGAATCACATAACAGGATGTGTCCTTTGAAAACTGTTGAGATTGGTGTCAGCATTTCTGCTGCAGCCCTGATGTGCTTCTCCGCCATGAAAAGAGCTAATGACACATGGAGCTTAAAAGGGGCTGGAGAGACAGCTCAGCAGTTAAGAACACTGGTTGTTCTTGCAGAAGACCTGGGTTCAAATCCCAGTACCCACATGGCAGCTAACAAGTGTCAGAAACTCCAGTCCCAGGGGAGCCGACAGCCTCTTCTGACCTCCGTAGGCATCACACGACATGGGTGCACTTACCTACATGCAAGCAATACACACATACACATTAGGAAAAAAAAAGATGATCCTGTGCAAAGTCGGGTTCGTTCCCGATGTGAAGGAAGCTGGTTTTACCTCAACATCTGTAGGCTAATACAGATGCTTTTCTTTTGTTCTCAGATTTTAATCTTGTTCAAATAACTTTGAACATCTGTGGAATCCAATTCCAAGTTGTTTTTTTAAATAATACCGTTTGAGATTTTAGTAAAATATAAGCTACCTTTTAGTGGTTAGATGACTGTCTTCCTTTCTTTTCCTGTTGCTCTGATAAAAAATTCTGATAAAAGTCACTTAAGGGAGAAAGGGTATACTTGGCTCATAGTTCCAGGGTTCAGTCTGTCAGACGACAGCAGCAGGAGCCTGAGGGAGCTAAGCACGTTGCATCTGCAGTCCAGAATCGGGGTGAGGAGTAGTGTGCAGCGCTCAGCTGACTCTCAGTTTCATACAGTCCAGGATCCTCTGTCCAGTGAAAGATGCTGCCCATAATTAGGGCAGGTCTTCCCACATCAGTTAACATAATCAAGATAATTCCCCACAGGTATGCTTGGAGGCCCACCTCCCACATGAGTCTAGACCTTGTCAAGTTGACAAATTCACACTATCACAATGACCCACATACAAATTATTCATTTGATAATTTCACTGTGCAATTTCAAACATGCATTTCTACATAGGATTTTTTTTTACAACCAAGTGAAATCTGTTTATGTGTGTTCCTGCTTGGGTAGGAATTAGATACCTATTTTGTTTTCTAGAATGGCCTCTAGAAGATTGTGAGATCCATAGTGAAAAAAAAAGTGTGATGGTGCATGTGATTCCAAAGAGAAAATTTCTAAATGTGAGCAGTTTATAGATCTTTGGAATAGTTTAGGCACTTACTAAGACAGGGAGAGTCAGTGGGTAGACAGGACAGAAGGACAGATGGACAGACAGATAGATGTCTGGTCTCATTCATCTAATTTTTTTTTTTTTTTGGTCTTTTTGAGACAGGGTCTCCCTGTAGCCCCAACTGGCCTGGAACTCACTATGTAGACCAGGCTGGCCATGAACTCACAGAGGTCCACCTGACTCTGCCTCCCGAGTGGCTTTTACAGAAACTTACCAACCCAAAACAAAGTACCCATTTCCAGGTTCCTTTTCTCTTTAGACAATGTCTTTCATAAACATGAGGCCCACGCTTGCCTTCACTTTGCGCACATCCCTGACATTCTTCTTTGCTAAGAAACCCCCTGTCTTGTAGTGAGCTTATTTGACTCCCCGAGTATCTCAATTCCTTTCTTGGCCTGTTTCAGCAGATCCACAGTTCCTCCATACTTATCTCTAGATAATTCTTTTTAAAATATATTCATTCATTCATTCATTCATTCATTCATTCATTCATGGGGTGACACATGCCACAGCACCAATTCAGAGATCAGAGGACAGTGGGGGGGGCTCATTTCTCTCCTTCCACCATATGGGTTCCAGGGATCAAACTCAGACTGTCAGCCTTGCGGGCAAGTACTTTTACTAAAGGAGCTATCTCTCCAGCCCTCAGGAAAATTCTTATGCAGATATTAAGATTGAGAATAGCAGACCTGTAAACACAAGTCCTGTTAGAGATTATGGCAGGTCCCTTTAGATCCACTGAAAAATCCTTAGATCCCCATATGAGACCAAAAGTTCATTTATCACCAGCTGAGCCAGAAGTAGCTGGTCTTCTACCGGGGTCCACTGGGCAGTGTAGTAATTAGATAAAATCCTGTATCTACTGATTTCTCTGACAACTGAATAATTGACATTGAACTTAGAATTCGGGATAAAAGGAAACCTATGTCTGCTTACGCATCTAGTTTGGGGGAAGTTGCCACCGAGGCAGGAACTGCAGAAGAGAGAGGCTTGGGAATAAAAATCCTGAGTCCAATTTTGTAGCTGATGAATTTCAACCGCAGCCTCTACGGCCTTCTCACTTCATCTCTGTATCGTGGACATAACTGGCTTAGCCATCGTGTCATCATTTAATTTGAGGTGTAAACGGACTCCTGAGAGCTATGAAAAAAAAAATCTGCCATGTTTTGGGGCCTGGTGAGCCTTCGGGGCCTCGAGTTTGCATTCTGGGGGACATCAGGGCCATCTGCTGAGGCACACCTTTAACCCAGGTGCAGGTGGGTGTCAGATAACCGTGTCCTGCGTCCCTTACAGCAAGGACGGTCACTAGCGGTGGGCAGGAGGAGGAAGGCAGGTTTTCCAGAATTTTCCCCATCGCCGGTGGTGTTTTAAGAGAAAATTAGCACTGGCCTTTTCTGCGCACCTTGGAAACATGCCTGGAGTGTTCGCTGCTCTGTCTTCAGGAGGCTTTACCATTCCACCAGAGCTGCGAGACGTTTTGCTGCTTCCTCTACTGAGCAGCCTGGGAATGGGCGGCTTTAAATGTGAATCTCAACACGGTTCCAAAAGGGCGAGGCCTGGCGGGCTGGGAAGGCGCTCGGAGCTCAGGGCCCCCAGCCGGCCTGGGAAGGTCCTGCCCCCGTTGCTTAGCGACGCCGGCGTCAGGTCCCAGCTGGGCGCGTGCACTTCCAGCTGCTCCGCATCCTCAGCGCCCGCCGTGGGGCCCGGGGTCCACAGGTGAAGCCGAGCGACCGGTCCGCGTCACCCCGCGCTGCCGAGCCTCCAGCCCTAGCTGGGAGGGCGGGTCCAGGCCGCGCGGGAGCCCCGGTGACGCACCAGTGACGTGGGCTGCGGGCGGGATTCCCGCCCCTCCGGGCCGAGTGGGTGCGGCCAGCGCAGCCGCGAGGGTCGGGGTCACTGCGCTGCACCCCACGGACCCGCTGCTTGGCCCCGGAGCCTCGAGCAGTGCTCGCCGCGCCCCTACCCAGCGCACAGCCTTCGCGCCGGCCGGGGACCCCGCGGGACCCGTTCCTCGAGCCCGGGGTGATGCCGCTCGGCCTGGCCGCCCCGCACGAGCGCAGTTCCTGAGACCAGTGCACGGAGCCGCGGTAAGTGAGCCCGAGCCGGGAAGGGGAGGCGCCTCGTGGGGGACCTCGGCCAGGCCAGTGCGAGCCTGAGCGCCTGCCCAAGGCAAAGCGGCAGGAAAGTCTTGGAACTGGAGAGACAGTTCCTGCGCCTGGGTCTCCCCAGGAGGAGCCAGCCTCAGCACCCGACACAAAGACCGCGGCTTCTGGGCTCCAGGCGGGGCCCGCGCGGTGCACGGTGCATGGTGCTTGATGCGTGGCCCCTGGTGCACTATGCATGATGCGTGATGCACTGTGCCCAGGACCCCGCAGCCGGGTCCTCGCGGGGCGCCGCAGGATCCCCCGGGTCCCAGCGGGCCGAGGCTCCCAGGGGATCCTTCTGCATCCCCCGGGGCGGGGAGTGATTGCTTTCCTCTCCGCAGGGACGTCCGTGGTGCAGGGGAGCGAGCGGAGGACACGGCGTGGCCGTTGGTCATTTGTTTTGGGGCAGTGTTTTGGCTGGGGGGGTGGGATCCTCTGCATCCCGGAACAGGGACACCAGCTTGGGTGGCGTCCCCGCCCCGCGGCTTTCCCTCCCTCTCTATAGCGACTGTCCCTGGGGTTGGTGCTGAACCGCTGCGCTAACAGCGCTCCCAGCACCTGGGGTGAGCCAACCAGCTGAATTTTTAGTCGCCTGGGAAAATGAGAGACGACAGTTATGGCTGCAAAGGACGCCTTCGTCGAAATACAGCTGTTTTCTTGTGTTTTGAGTTAAGACGTGAGGAAACCCCACAATGTGAAAGTTTGATGGAGTGATACAGGCGGCTGGTGTGCAGCCCCTGTGCCCAGCTCCCAGGGCTGCGGGTCCCCTCCCCTGCGAGTCTGTGAAAGGCTGGCGGGTGGCTGGGCCTGTCTTGGGGAGGTGTGAAAGAGCCCAGGGCTCCAGGGCTCCAGCTGTGAGGCACTGGGCCGCTTCTTCTTTCCTGGGGGCTCCCAGCCCTTTCCCTCCAGTGGGCCTGCAGCAAGGAGGAAGGCAGCCACCATCTCATTTGGTCCTGGGCCCTAGGAGAGACCATTGTGGGGAGGCACCTGGGATTTTCGGTCCTAAGAACAAGACAGGCGTTTGTATGCTGCCGGTGGGGTGGGCGAGGTTCTCAGGCCTGCTGAGAAGTGACTATGAGGTCGCAGGGGTTACTGGGTTCGTAGCTGGCCACCGGGGTTCTCGGGATGAGATGATTGCCTGACCCCTCCACCCCTGGCCTCAGTCCTTATCCTCTTCTTAAAATGCAATCTGGTGAGGAAGTATTGGTGAGGCCTGGGAGGTGGGGAGCTGCCCACGACTGACTGGCAGCTGCCTTCCCCTTCCTCATGGAAGTCCATGAGGAAGGACCCAGAATGAGCTTTCCACTGTATTAGAGGTTTAAGAGTGACTGTCCCTAAAGCCCCCAAATCTCAAGGTGTTCTTCAAAATGGTGGAAAGTCAGGTGGGCACTCGGGCCCTGGTCCTGCCCCTGATCTGTGTCACTCATACAGGACACCTGGGATCAAGAGTAGCCTTGTACTGACACCCACTGCACCCTCACCACACACTTCCTGCTACACCCCCAGCACCTGTGGGAAATTCAACCAAATGGCCAGGGAAAGTCTGGGTCTCCCACAGGCACTGTTCACTTCTAGCTGCACCCATGCTCAGGTTTCCTGGTTCCACGAATTTTGTTCTGCTCGACAGGGAGAGGGTGCTAACCATGAGTGTCAGAAGACTACCCCTTCTCGTGGCATTTTGAAGGAATGTCTTTAAAATATTAGCTGATTTTTCCCCTAACGTGTTATCCAATCTTGCTGATTTCCTTTTTACTTTCATAGTTTTTTTCTTTTTGGTATTTCTATTCCCTTAAGACAAATTCAAACATGGAGACTTTTAATTTTCATATCTCAATTTTCTTAGACCAGAACCCAAAACTCCTTAAATTCTACAAAAAATGTCATCACTGGCTAGCAAGGGTATTGTCCTTTGTCAGAGAAACTACATCTTTATCAAAGGAGAGAAACAGGGCTGGAGAGACAGCTCAGTGGTTAAGAGCACTTACTGCTCTTGTAGAGGGCTTGAGTTCAGTTCCCAGCACCCACATAGGGCAACTCACAACTACCTATAACTTCAGCTCCAAGGAGATCCTTGGCCTCTGGCTTCCATGGACATCTGCACACACACACACACACACACACACACACACACACACATAAATCTTATTTTTAAACATAGGAAAACATACACTGGAGAGATGGTTCAATGGTTAAAAGCACTTACTGCTCTTCGGTTCCCAGCACCCACATAGTGGTTGACAACCATCCTAAACTCCAGTTCCAGGGGATCTGACACCCCCTTCTGGCCTTCATCAGCATTGCGTGACACAGCTGCACTTATATACATTCAGGCATACTACTCATACACGTAAAATAAAAATAAAATTTAAAAAAAATGGGTGAAACAGGAAATCAAGTAGATACTGCTACTAAAAGGCTTTAGGCAGCTGATGGAAACATAAGAAACCAAAGCCTTTCAAGAAGTGACTAGAGGTGAAAACACAAATTTCCATGTAAGGAATGAAACGGAAGAGAAACTGCTGAAAGGTTCGTGCAGAAAAATTGGGACACTTATAAGGAAATCAGTGCACTGATCTGGGGAGCTGCTGTGACTGGGGCTGCTGCTGTCTCAGTGGAGGAGGGGGTCCTGCAGAAGTTCTGGCACTCACTGTGGGTAGCCCTGGGTGCCCAGGAGGAGCGAGACTCTGAAGTGGGAAAGCTGTGTGCCCTGGGGTCCAAGCTTATCGGGTGTCTGTAGGCAAATCCACAAAGGCTGGGCCTGAGAGAGACAGACAGGGCAAAACCCGGGTGAGCAGACCCAGGGCTAGGAGCAGTTCTTGATGAGCAAGGGCTGGTACATGGGAATGGCCTCGGTTGGTCTTTATGTGACATCTGCAGGGTTTCAGTTTTGCGAAGTGGCACTGTTGGGGAGTGTTCTGGGAGCAACCTTGGTGGGTAGTGGGGACTGAGGCTGGACATAGCTCTTTCCCAAAGGCAAGGACATACCGCCTTTCTCCCTAGAGTTCTCTCTGAGAGCTGTGTCAGCTCTCCCTGTTGGGACTTGCACTGAGTCTGTGAAGAGGTTCCTAGATGGGAGACATTCATTAAGTGCTCCTCTTGGGTCTCGGGGAGGACTTCCAACACCCATGTGGCCATGCCCAGAGGCTGCTGACTATCCCAGATTGCCTCCTTCCTTCTCACTGTGACTCCTAAGTGTTCCTGTCTAAGGAATAACTATGAGACCTTTTCTCCCCATCCCCCCCCCCGCCAAGTATGGAGGTCCAAGTAGGACAATCAGGCTTAGAAAACAGGAAGGAAAGCACAAGGGAACAGGGATCATGACAGAAGCAAAGCAAGGATTGACAATAGGTTCTTTGTGGCCCAACAGAACCTGTTGGGAAGGCAGAATTGGTAGAGGGATAATTGTGCCCCATACAGGGACTGTCTTCCCAAGGGTCTGGCTCTAGGAGGTCAGGCACAGTATGGATACAGGCTTGGCTGGCCCCTCCATGGCCGCACATCATGGTCCACTCTGTGTGGGACCACATGCCCCCACTGTGATTATGACACCCCTGGGTGTCATACATAAAGAGCTGTGCATTCCCTCCAACCCACCACTGGTGGGGGAATCTGGCATCCCAGGGCCCCCAGGCACTGGGCACCTGGGGCTTGCATGCCTCATTCTCAACTGTGTTGGGCATCTGGCATCCTCTGTGGGGTCTTTCCAACCTGATTGAGATGACATTTGTGCCACCCCAGATGATCTGCCTGTCATGCACTGGTGGAAACTTCCAGCAGGACCTTTCTGCAGCCCACAGCTTGTGGCATGCTAAGTGGGAGTACATTGATCGCTTTGGGTTCTGGTCAGATATTTTAGAGAATTTCCCTTCTTTCTATAACCAGCTGCTTGCCTCCCAGCCCCAGGCTGCCTGAGTCTGTGATTTCTTACCCACTACTCCATCTCTGGAGACAACCTAGAAGGGGTGACCTGTAGCTGAGCAAGTAGAGCCAATCCCTGCAGGCATGTTTGGCGGCACTGGAGAGAAGGAGTGTTCTGTGGACAGAGGGACACAGGCTCTCTAACCATCCAGAGTAGAGGTGGTAGATTGTGGCAGAGAGGGGTCATGTGATTGTGAGTGGAGAATCCACATCCCTGACTGACCTCAAGGGAAGAACAGAGAAATGAACTCTAAGCTCTTTGTGGGACAGGGATGGTGTAGGTTTGCCAACAGGCCTTCAGTGGCATTTCTGCCTTCTTTGGCTGATCTTGCCTGTTGGGAAGTGCTGGCAATCTTCCGAAGGCCCCGTCACCACCCATTAGTCCCACAGTAGATTGCTGCCTTTGCTGTCTTGCCAGTTTGTGTCTTTTAGGGTGGTCTTTTTGCTGCATGCTCTGTGCATGCCCCTGGAAGCATGCCAATAGTCTCCATATTGCTATCCGTTCCTAGGGTTTGCTCGGCTTCCGATGGTCCAGGTCCTTCTGTTGTGCCTGTGTCTTTCCAAACCCACTCCCTATGGCAGCCAATAGTGCAGTGTCTCTAGAAGTGGGTGATTGACATGTTCTACTAAAGTTTCTTTGCCGCAGGATTTGGCATCAAGGGTCATGCCTGTCCTTACGGTGGGTCTTCCCCAGCTGGCTGACTTTTTCCAGTTTTCTTGTGCATTTCAGCTCCAAACTCACATTCATTTCAATTGCTGGATCCTGTGGAAGGGCTTTTCAGTATGTGGACATTGTTGAAAGAGACAGTTGTGTTCCTAGAAGGCTGTACATTGACTTTCCCTGTAGTGAGCTCCTGTGGTATTTACACCAATTCTAGGTGACAGACAATGAGGACCATCTAGCCATGTCCACAAAGAATGCACAACCCACAGAAGAGGTGATGTGTGAAAGCAGCTTTCCTACCCTGACCAGTGCTGTGACAGACATGTTTGAATAGCCATGCATACAAAGACTGGCTCTTCCT